CGATCCCAGCAGATCTTCCTGAAGCGTTTGATGTGGATCTCCTCCGGCCCGGGTTGTGATGAGCTACCCGTGCCAGAGGCCGCGGCGGGCGCGGCGGCGGCGACGGCAGCGGCGGCGGCGGCGGCAGGAGCGCTGGTGGGGGGAGGGGCTGCGGCAGCAGCGGGAGAGGACGATGCAGTAAAAATGTCCAGTCTTTGCGATGTTCCAGTGATAGCGATGGCCGAGCTCTGTTTGAGGAGTAGGCTGCGATGCTGGGGTCCCCAGCCTCCCGGGGGCGAGAGTCAGAGACCCACTGCAGATCTCCCTTGCAGAGGGCTTCAGACACCAGGTTGCCAGGTCGCCATCTTGCCCCGCCGACATCAATACATAGTTTTTATAAATAAATTTCTGGACCTTGGGGGTCTCCCCTCATGCACTATTTGGCCATGATGGTTTGAAGAAGGATATCAATCTCATATATAGCCCCGGCCTTTTCCTTAGGTATCTAGGCAATCTTAAATGAAAGGCAGTTACTTGCCAAGCCTCATGAGTGGCCTACCTTAACTATCATTTCCTGTGCCTCTTCTCAATATAGAACTTTCAGGCTAAGATGATGTCATATCCTTACTTTTAGATTATGTATCTACCGATCATTTATGAATTCTCATCGGGGGTCTGGTCCCTCCCTCAAAATTGGATAGATCATATTAATAAAATTCTGTGCTCAGGAGCCCATCTGTTGCAGTAGACATTTTCCCTGTTAACCAAGCAGTAGAAGAACATTCACCTAGTTCTTTATCCTACCCTGGGACACACATTTGCCCCTTCCAATTGGCTCCTGCAGGTCCTAGCACTGACTGACTCCAGACCCAGGTGCCAGCAGCCCCCATGTGGGAAGACCTTGGGAGTTGGCTCAAAAGCCAAATTTCTGGAACATGAATACAAATTGTGGTTCTTATTGGGCCAAAAACAAAAGTTCAAAACAGGGCTGGGAACAGTAACTCATACCTATAGTCCCAGCACTTTGAGAGGCTGAAGTGGTAGAATCACTAGAGACCAAGTGTTCAAGACCAGCCTGGGTAATATAGTGAGGTTTCATCTCAACAAAAAAGCAAAAAAACAGCCAGGTAGTTCCAGCAACTCAGGAAGCTGGCCCCAGGAAGTTGAGGCTGCGGTGAGCCATGGTAATGCCACTACACTCCAGCCTAGGTGACAGGGTGAGATCCTGTAAAAAAAAAAAAAAAAAAAAACTCTAAACATATGAAACACTATATCATGGGTGAGACATCTTCAGTGAGACATCTGGGAAGGCGAGGAAAAGCTTTTAAGGTAGAATGGCAGTGAAGCATGAAAAATATTCAGAATATCCCTAAGACTGTGTTCTGGATCCCACAAACTCATAGTTGAGCACTACTATTGAAAGGGCTAAAGAAAGGTCAGAGAATCCAGAATGCCTAGCCCCCCACTCACCTCTGATCCAGGATGTTCCTCTGCTGTGCCCTGTGTATATCCACTTTCCTTCTGAGGACAGCCCCAGCTGATGCCCTAACCCCCCTGTGCTCTCCAACCTTTGCAGCATCTAATTGGTGTACCTTTCATTCCCCTGAGAGTGTTCTTATTTTTTATCTTCATTTACATTTATTCTTGATAGGCACTGCTAGAGATTTACACAGGTTATAAGTCTTTTCAAAGACGAGACATTTGGTTTGGTTGACTGTTTCTGTTTTGAAATCTTTATTTTACTCAATCTATTGATACTGAAAACTTTTTTGCTAAAATCAGCAGTGATATCTATCAAGAATCTCTTGCCAATCAAGTGACTTATTTTCATTCTTTGTTTTATCTGACCCTTCGACAGCGTTTAACTTTAATGCCTCCTCCTTTATTTTTGTGGATAACTTTCTGAAGAATTACCTACATACTGTAAAATGCACAAATCTCAGATGTACAGCATGATAAATTTTAATAAGATAAACATATGAGCACACCCATATAAACACTACTCAGATCAAGATATAGGCACAATTGCTTCCTGTTTGTTCGGGTGTTTCCATAAAGCTCTGGCTATGCTCTCCTAAGACACATTTCCAGTCCTGTGCCTTTTCCTGCCTTCAACCCTGCAGAGACATTTACATGAAGACCTGAAGAATCAGTCACTGAAAACTACTTTAGACAAATAACTTCAAAAACTAAATGATATGTAAGAATTTTTCATTACTATTAAAAGGATGGGGAATATATAATTCAAATTAAAACTGTCTTAAAGGTAAAAGCACTTATCATAACTCATTCTAATGGAGCCTTTCTGTTTACAATAAACTAGATCCCCTACCTGAGTATCTCCACTCTCAAACCAAACTTGCTCCCAGTCATCCCTACTGCTTATTTTCTTTGCTAATAAATCCTCTTGGCCCTTAATACTGTCTCTCCACCAACCCAAGTTTGGATATACCTCCTCTTCTCTTGGCTTTAATCCAAAGTAATATTATGTTTCCATTCAGTCTCCCACATGTCCTATCCTCATACCATTTCCAAAATGTCGTGGTATCTGCAGTACCCACCAGATCTGAACAGCCATCTATAGTAGGACTGAGGGCTTGTATCAGCCTTTCTGGGGTGACCTGCCTGGAAACTCCATCAATCAAACACCAATCCCCATGTCAGATACCCACATCCCTGATGTTTTCTCTATTCAACTTTTTCTGATGAATTGATTTCTGATAGTCTACATTTTTTACTCAAAAGAAGAAGAATTTATACATGACCCTTCAGAAGGAGTAGAAAGAGTGATACAAAATCGATGATGAACAATGGGTGTCATGGTGAGGAGTATTGTCCTTTCCAAATACTTTACATTGGGAGTCTTCTTTTCCCTTCAGCTACTCCACCATCCTGTCTTTTCCCTGGATTCCCTTGGCCTCTTCTCAGCAAATAAACACTGAAATTCCTCCAGAGACTGATTTTTCTTTGTTTTCTGGTTTCTGGGGCTTTCCAGATTGCAGGAGGAGGCAGATGCTTAGTCTTTGTTTCTTCAAGTCCTTACAGGATATCTAAGAATTATGCTAAGAATATAGAGTGCATGCTGAAAGAAAAACAAAAAGCCCAAGATTGGTAGGATTTGTTAAAGCCCTCTATATACCAGAAACCCTAAAAAAATGCTTTTCAAAGATGATCTTATTCAATTTCTCCAACCTTCAAAAGTAGGTACCCTCATTACATCTACATTTTATGAATGAAAACAAGGTGCATAGAAGATCACAAAACCAATAGAAAGAGTCATGGTTTAAATTTTAATAATCATAATTTATTTCACTTTGTATACAACTACTTACACTGATAATATACTTAATATCTCAAAGCCCATTTCACTCCTGCATTCTTCCTAGGGACTTGCAGTAGACTTTGCTGGGTAAATATTTCTCATGACACAGCATTATAAAGCCCTGTTTGAACACAGAAGGGCTGTAAGATTTTGGGAAGACTAAGGGATATGGACTTTCCAAACTAGAGGAAAATATGGATCTCAGCACAAAGATTGAAAAGGGAAATTATTCTCCAAATAGATCATAAACCAGAGGACATACAGCGTAGGGTATTTGAATGGAAATGAAAATAATAGCAGCTAGAGGGTGCATAGGTCATGACTTCTGCATGGGCATCATAACAGAGCAAGAAAAAACTTGAGTGAAAGAAGCCAAAAGGCTCAAGAGGTAAAATTATGTTTATTTTTTATGGCAAAGGATATATAAATATATGGAAATATGAAAATTCAGGAGACATGGTACATGCTCCCAATTCCCCAACTCCTCAGTTAAGATATTGTTATTCATGGTGTGCATGGTGAATCTTGATGAATCAAGAAGCCTTTTGTTTTCTTATTTTGGGAGGAGAATGAGTGAAAAGGAGCTTGCTGTCTTCTGCAGCCAAACCTAGCACACTCCAAGAGAACACATGGTTTAGCCAAATCTGTACTCTCCACCCAAATTTATCTCTGTTTCAAATACTACTTAATTAAAATTACTGGAAATGTTGTCAGAAACATTTTATTACATCTTGCTAGAAATTGAAAAATTACACAAAGATATCCTTTACAGCTTCATTTTAGAATTCCTATAGTGCCAGGTAAACCAGTCCAGACCTCTGATCTCTAAGTCAACTTTAAAGGTGGCTGGAATGCTCAAGCTCTGAATTATGTTCATGAACCATTGTGTTCATGAACCAAAATCGGAGGAGTCAAAGAGACAATGCATCAGTGATCTCTGTATTCTCTCTCTCATTTGTTTCATTCTCATGCCATAGATGATAGGGTTAAAGGTGGATGGGATGACCAAGTACAAGTCAGCTAACAGCACTTGGGTGTGCAAGGGCACTGCATTTTCCCCTAGCCAAGCCACATAGATGGATGCCATCCCAGGTAGATAGTACAGAGCCATGACCCCCACATGGGAGCCACATGTGCTTAATGCTTTCAACTGAGCATTCTTTGAGGAGAGACCAAACACTGCCTTAAGAATCAAGATATAGGAGGCAGCAATGAAGGCCACATCAGAAACCACAATAATGAAAGAACCAAGTAGACTGTAGAGACTACTGGACATAGGGTCAGCACATGCTAACTTGACCACAGCTATGTGCTCACAGTAGGAATGGAGAACCACAGAGGAGCCACAAAAGGGTAAATGACTCACCATCCAACTCAAGGGAGTCATAAATATGATTGCTCTGATGGTGACAGTCACACTCACTCCCAGTGTCACTTGAGGTGTGAGAATTCTCCTGTAATGTAGGGGCTTACAGATGGCCACATAGCGGTCAAAAGCCAGGGCAGGAGCAGCCCTGAATCCACAGCTGTTGCTGAATGGACAAAGTACATCTGGGTGAAGCAAGCATTGAAACTGATGGAGCTGTCTTTTGAGAAGAAGATGCTCACCATCTTGGGTACCACTGAGGAGGCCATAACAATGTCAACAGCAGCAAGAACACACAGGAAGCAATACATGGGTTCATGTAGAGTGGAATCCACCCAGATTACAGTCATAAGGAGAGTGTTTCCTAACAGAGCTATGGTGTACACAGCACTCAGTGAAATAGCCAGCCAAAGATGTGAAGACTGCAATCCTGGAATACCCACAAGGAAGAAGGTGGCAGGGGTGTCCATTGTGTGGTTGTAGGATGACCCCAGCATCACAAATGAGACAACGTTCCTGTTAAAAAATAAAATAATGATCTAATATAAGGATGCACGCCTGTAAGATTTGTTCCCATCAGTGGTTTTAGGAAAACCAGTAGTTTTAGGAAAACCTACTCTCAACAGGATAGTATTCTCAGGAGCTGAAAAGTAATATCTGATATTTTGGTCTGCCTTTCATCCTTCTCAATATCCTTTGCCTTAACTAATGTCTACACATTGTTCAAGATTAAGATCATGGTTCACTACCATTGGGAAGTCTTCTTTGCTGTCTCTTCCGCCCTTCACCACGCCCCCCCACCACCACCACCCCAATACTCAGGCAAAATCAGGCACCTTCTTCTGAGCTTTCATGGAATCTCTCATAGTGACTTCTGAGGGATTAAATTGATATTCTCTACCTATGACTATATTGTACACACTCAAATGTATGTCTCTTGTTTGTGGCCTTATATGAAGGGTGTGACTCACAGCTGCAATAGACACATCCTTTAAAAGAAAATGTGTATACTCAAATAATTAACAGTTTCCAAAGAATGAATGATAAATCAGAGAAAATTCGTCTTTTATCTCTGTATATTCAGGTACTACTCCTTAATGATTTTTAAATGAAAGAACTACTCAAGGTCAAACATGTCACATTTTTTTATCCTCAGTATTGTGCCTAGACAAAACATGAAAGAACCACTCTTATAGCTGAAGAAATATAACAGGTTAAAGAAAATAGGTCATAAATACCAACATTAACACATTCCATAGAAGATCATAAACTGCCTGGAAGTATATATAATCTCTACCTTCTTTGAACTTCAGCCTGGATTTCCTACTGAGCTAAGTTCAATTAATGAGTTAAATCATTACAAATAAAAGTTGGCACTACCTTGCAGAGGAAATCCTCTTTCATAAGTTTTTATGAATCTTCAATTCAGTTAACTTCCCTTTAATGATAAACTTTCCAGACTTTGCAGACAACAAGAAAACTTTATCCTGTACAAAATAAAGCACATTTTAACAAACATGATATATGTCAGTGCTATTTTTCAAACTACAGTATTCATAATCTGTGTATTTCTTCATTTATAAAATAAGACAAACATTCATCTCACACAAGACAGTTCAAATAACGTACATGAGATGAAGTATTTTATCCAAGGTCACTGAACAAATATGTGGTAGAGTTGAGGCTTAACTCCAAGTCTTTCCAACTGGGACTCCCTGCTGTCCATCCAGCCTAAGATTGACAGTCAAAAAAATAACTATGGATACTGACCCAAAAAAATGAGAGGCTTCACTCAACAGTTTTGATGTGACTAAGAGAGCTACTACTCTGCACTGCTAGAAAATGAGCTCCAACCCTTGTAGATTTCCACTTATTGCTGCACTCGCCCTCCATTGCCTCAGTCAGGTTAACACTTGAATCCTATAACATGTATTATCAAATAGCACATAACATGTAGTATCATGTATCACACAACATGTAATAATCTGGTTGGCAAAACCTGAGTATGAGAAATCAGCATTAACTACCATTCCATTCCTGTTATCTTTAGGATGGTTGGCTTCCGTGATTTTATATGTTTGGGCATGTGCACATATTCCCAGCCATATAAGAACACTCCCTGCAAGGACCTCTTCTTGCACTGGCGGTATTAGTCTGTCTTGTGAGACATTGGTTGAACTTCTTCAAGGAAACTCTAGTTTTTCTTTCCTCAGAATACAACATAAAAACTCTGCATACTTTTACGTGCCCCACTCAAAATGTGTTGTTGACCCTACATCATCAAGAAGCAGGGTAACAAAGTGGCAAAAACTTTTGGTTCCAGGCTCATAATCCCTAGGCTGAATAACCTACACTATCACTTGTTAGCCACTTTTTTATCAAACTGTATAACTCTAAAAGCCTTAATTTACTTATTAACAAGACTGACATAATAGTTGCTATAATAACAGAGATATGTTGACATTTAAATGAGAAGTTATATAAAAGCTATATAATAACAGATAAGGTGTTTTGACATTTAAATGAGAATCTATACAAAAGTGCTCAGCAGAATGCTTGGTTATTGGGTGCTCAATAAAATGTAGCTAATAATAAATGAGACCATGTTTCTTGCTTTAGTCCTATGGTTCGAGATTGTTCCAAATAGTATACTTAAATGGGTAAGTGTGTCTTGGAGACCACGATAAAAAAATTAAAAAGCAGTTCAACCTGCATTGCTGAAAACATTTCTCTTGTCCTCCCATGATCTATCAATGAAGATGTCTCACCCAGAGACTGTACACAGTTTTTCTAGTTTCACTGTGATAAGGAACTCACTGTTTGTTCCATTATAGGTCAGTTATCAAGTTTAATATTTTTCTCTTGGTTGATTGCTTTTTTTTTTCTTCATGACTTCTCTGTGCAAAGTCCTTCCTTACGTTTGCCTACAACTCATCACTAATATGACAGACAAAAATGGTTACCACTTCTGCTGGCCTATAACAGCTCTTGCCAAATTATAACCGGATTAAGAGTAGAGTGGAAGTAGGTATGATAAACATTACTTATCCAGGTTAAGTTGCTGCTTCAACTGCTTTTCCCATTGCAATCAGATCATTTCACTTCCTGAGGCCATGGAGATGTAGCTTGGTCTCAAATCTATACTCAGAGTCAAAAGGGTGGGCCAGATTTATTAAGTACAATTAATCTCCTTCCTCAAACCCTCATGGCCAAATAGTGTACCTCTCAAGGCCTCAGCCTAGTAGGCCACCACAGTAATTGGGTGGATTATATTGACATAACATTAATTATGCATAGCCCAAGACCCATTTTTTAGGTATTCAGGTAATCCTAAATGAAGGGTGCTTATTTTCTAAGGCTTATGAGTAGCCTATCTTAAACTATCACTTCCTGTAACTCTTATCAATGCAGGACTTTCAGAATGAGATAGTTGCCATATCCCTATCTTTTAATGTTCCTACTTGCCATTTTTAACTTCTAATCAAGGGACTGGCCCTTTCTGAATCATGGAATAGATCAGATTCATGAAATTCTGTGTTTGGTATCCCATCTGCTACAGTAGACATTTTCTCTGTTAACCAAGCACTAGATGAACACTCATATGGTTCTCCATCTTAAACCTGGGACACACATTTGCCCCTTCCAATTACCTCCTGCGGAGACTAGCACTGACTGACTCCACAACCCAGTTCCCTGCAGCAGCCTTGCAGGAAGACCTCAGGAGTTGGCTCAAAAGCCAAATTTCTGGAACACGAATGCAAATTGTGTTTCCTATAGAAACAAAGAAACCAAAAACAAAAACCCTAAACATATGAAATTCTATATCATGGAACCAACTCTACAAAGTAGTAAAGTGCACATCATATTCAGATCATATGAACCACTGGGTGAGACATCTTCAGTGAAAGATTAGGGGAAGACAAGGGAAAGCTTTTGAGGTGGAATGATGATGAAGATAGATAAAAAATATTCAGAAGTCCCTAAAACTATTATGTGTTCTGGATCCCACAGATTCATGGTTGAGAATTACTGTTGAAAGGTCAGAGAATCCAGAATGCCTACCCCCACTCACCTCTGATTCAGGATGTTCCTATCTTGTGTACTGTGTAATCCTGTGTAAATCCACCTTCCTTCTGAGGGCAGCCTCAGCTGATGCCCTAACCCCATAACTCTCTTCAACCTTGGCAACATCTAGTGTTGTATACTTTTCATGTCCCCGGCAGTGTTTTTATCTTCATTTACATTTCTTCTTAATTGACGCTGCTAGAGACTTACAAAGGTTATTGGTCTTTTCAAAAACAGGATATTGGGTGTGGTTTGTTGGTTGTTTCTTTTTAAAATTATCATTTCATTCAAACAATTGATACTGAAAATTTTCTTACTAAGATCAACAGTGATCAGCATCAAAACTCTATTGCCAATCAAGTGATTTCTTCCCATTCTTTGTTTTATTTGACCATTTCAGAGAACTTAACCATAGTGCCTCCTCCTTTATTTTTTAGTTAACTTTTTAAGGTACTATATGCATGTTGTAAAATGAAAAATCTCTGATGTACAACTTGATAAATTTTTCTAAGGTAAACACACAAACATATCACATAGGCACTATCTCAATCAAGAGACAGTCACAATGGCTTTCTGGCAGTTAAGAAATACTATTTTCAGAAAGCTCCATCCATATCTCCTAAGACATGTTTCCAGTCCTGCACTTTATTCTGCTTTCAATCTACAGAAACATTTACATGAAGGCCTGAAGAATCAGTCACTGAAAACTACTTTTGATAAGTAACTTAACTTCAATAACTAAATGATATGCAAGGATTTTTCATTTTATTAAAAGGATGAGGAATGAATAATTCAAATTAAAATTATCTTAAAGGTAAAAACACTAATGCATAACTCATTGGAATGGAACCTTTCTGTTTATGATAAACTGGCCCCTAACGTATCTCCTTTTCCCAGCCAAACATTCTCACAATCAGCCCTACTGCTTAGTTTCTTTTCTTATAACTTCTCTTGGTCCCATGATACTGTCTCTCTACCAACAGGAGGGTGGACTTACCCTTTCTGCTTTGGTCCAAAGTAATCTTATGTTTCCATTCCGTCTCCCACCTTTCCTATTTTCACGTCATTTCTATAAGGTCCTGGTATCAGTAGTACCCACCAGACTTGGCCAGACCTTTATAGTAGAACTGAGGACTTGTATCAGCCTATCTAGGGTAACCTGGCTTGGAGACTCCATCAGCCAAACACCAATCCCCAGGCCAGTTATCCACATCCCTGATGCTTTCCCTATTCAACTTTATCTGGAGGGTTGATGCCACTTAGAACATATTTCTTTCACTCAAACGAAGAAGAATTTAAACAGAACCCCTTGGGGAGGAGCAGAAAAAGCTACACAAAATGAAAGGTGAACAATAGGGTGTCATGGAGAGGTGTATTGTCCTTTCCAAAGACCTCTCCCATCAGGAGCCCTCCTTTCCCTTTGGCTACTCTGTCATTCTGTCTTTTCCCTGGGTACTTGCCTTCTCTTGGCCTCTTGCCCAGCAGACAAACACTGGAATTCC